ACACGTCACATCGCTGGTTAGACAGCATATAGCCTCAAAGACATGCGTGTTTGTTGAGATTTCTTTGTAACTCAACTGAGGACAGCCATTGCTCCATTAATCAACCCCCTCTGTTTGACAGTCGGTAGATTTATGACACCGAGTTTATGAAACCAAAACGCAATTAAACGCAATCACTCAGTTCAGCTGGAGTTGCCAGATACTGCTAGTGAAATCTTTTGCAAACGTCACTCGAGCTGAGGCTTCGACAAGCACAGAGTGAAAACAAAGGATGAAAGGTTTTCCTGATTCTTTTTCAGTCACGTAAAAAAAAGCCACCAAATGTTCTGAATGCATTTTTTTAAGCAGTAAGGACCTGGGAGTCCCTTTGCCATTTCAGACTTAGGGCTTTGCTTTCACTCATGAGAGCAAAAGGAACACCAAATGACAAAGTGGGAAATCAGAGGGGTTTTTTTGGTTTCTGCAGGCACGATGTCTGCTTTCAGTCCGAGTGGAGCAGCAGGCATGAATGGCATGTTCCTATTGGAGGGAACATTCCCACTTAATTAATTCATAGCAAAGATATGATCTCAACATAGCCAAAGCTGCATGCTGAATTTGTAAACACTTTCTTAAATAGCTTTGGGGTTCTTCTTTTCCACGTTGTTTCTCAGCACACCCATACCCCTGCAACTGACTTCCAGAAAAATACCAAGCGGTGTAAGTAACTATTATTACTACTGAATGCAATTGTTCTTCCTCAAATTGAGGGCAATAGTTGTGTAATGAGTCCCAAACATTTTGAGGTTTTACTCTTCCATCCATTTCATATCTTTTGAGAAAGAAACGCTTGGTATTCCTTGAGGTTAGGCACATTAACAAATGCAGTGGCAATAATGTTGTTGCTCTATCTGTTGCTGCTAGAAGCGTGTATGATTAAAATGTGCTCCTCATTTAGTTGCAAAAGGGAAAGATTATGAAATATTAGTGCCTGTGCTCCTTATGCTGGCTGCATATTGAGTTGATTCTCATTTGGGGATCAAGAATGTATTCCTGCACTCACTGGGGGAGGATGTCCCAACATATTTTAACCCAGTGGAAATAACCCAACATATTTCTGACAATGAAAGAAGATGAGACTCAACTTCCAAAGAGATAAACAAGTTAAACAAGCAAAAAAACCACAGGTTTCTCTTCTTGCTTGTGTTGTCACTTAAATCTTTTGGTGTTTCTGGCACCTACGTGTCCTAGTTCTGTGATTAATAGCTATAAAAGGGCAGTAATAATTCTCATAAATTTATTATTAATTATACTCCTATCTTTATCTGAACTTCTGTTTTGACTCTGCTATGGAGCCAGCAACTAAGGCTCAACTTTGAGAAGTAACAAGGGCCCTTCTCAGCAAAATCTGGGTGTGTTTGCTGCCACTGAGAACCATCCTTTTGCTACTAACAATGTGGTTAAGTTTCTCATGGTGTCAGAGCAGTGCAGTGAGGAAGTTGCCCCCTTCTATGAATCCCCACTCTGAGCTGTTGTTTAAGAGCTAAATGTTGAAAGGTGCATCACTGACCAGTAAGCTTCTCCTGAAGAAGGGCTGGCTGTGTATGTCTAAATAAGTGCCAGCATTTTGAATGCTGAGGCCATCAGTTGGACTTTGTGTTGAGGGATATGGTTTAGTGAGTACTATTGGTGATAGGTGGATGGCTGGACTGGATGATCTTGAAGGTCTTTTCCAACCTTGGTGATGCTGTGATCAATCTGAAGGAAACTACTGGTGTGTAATTGTCCATGTACTTGGCCATTTCATTACAACAATTTGCTAGAGAGAGGCTTCACATAAAAGGAATATTTCCTATCTCATGTGGCCATGGGCCTGGCAAACAGCAGTTACCAACTGGAGCTGCCTTGCCGCAGTGATCGTTGTTTCCCAGATCTAACAGAAAAATGTTGGTTTCCCCCAGAATCTTGTGGTAGCTGGGAAGACATGGTGAGCATGTCTGCTGCCTCTCCACTGAAAGGCTGCTGAGAGACCTTGGAGAAAAGGCACTGTAAGTCCAAAACTAAGTCCCTGAGAAGAATGTTGTATGAGAGTCACCTTCTCTATTCTCCAGGCTGCTCTTCCTACAACAGCACTATCAGAAGAAGCAGCAGCAGATGGGGTAAAAGTGCATTCTCTCCCATTTGCTTTCTCCCTCAGAAGGGCCCCCCATCCTTGTTGAAGCTCCTCAGGTCACGTGTACCTGATCCACGTCAACACTGCTGGCTGCAGGAGCAAGCAGCTTTCATCCTGGCTGTGTTGGCTGCCACTTGACCTCCTTAAAAATGAAACTCAATTTTGTTTTAGAACAAACAATCACCTTCCAGAGCTTCTGCAATATGATCTCCTAGAGACAGCTACTGCACTGACTGTATAACCTGGACACTGCACTCTAGATTTTGGATGTGTTTTGATTTTGTCAATTATTAATTTTATAATGCGTCCCTCAGGTCCCGTATTAACGGACAGCTTACAGAGGAGGTCTGGGTTACTGTTTATCACAGCCCTCAATACTTTGGCATCCCTTGAGTCAAATTTAGCTCTCCGGCTTCTGCTTGCCAAGTAAAAGCCTTTAGCATTTTTATAATCTCCAAACACACGTTTCTTCATCTCTCGGACTCAGCCTTGGTGATTCAGTACGCGTTCGCTGTTTGAAATCAAACCATGATGAAATCTCTTAATAGCCACTCTACGAAAATATTTTGTTTAAAAAACACTCAAAACTTAATTGGAATGAAAACACCAGCAGCTGGATTGTAGTTTGAAGCCGTAAGTCTGAGACGCAGCTGGAACAGCAGGAATCAGAGAGACACTTCTAAATCTTCCTCTTGCTACAGGAACGTTTCAAGGCTGCTGCGTTTTGGCAGGCAATGAAAAGCACCCACTTGGGTTCAGCCTTCTTTGACCAATATCGTATGCTGCTGTCACATCTGTCACTTAGATTTGCAGATAGCCAAAGAGCACAAATAAAGGGCTGTATCTTTTCCGAAGTTCCACAAAGAGGGTGCTCATGAACATGAGCCAAAACATCATTACTGCCAGCTCTGAATAATGACTTTAGTAAAGTAGTTAATTTCTTCTCAGCACCTCTAATGAGACTTACTAAAAGATATGATGTAAAAAGAAGATTATGGATAACTTGTTAATTGGAGGAGCTGTATTTATCCCTTATCTGCATTGTCTGGCTCTTAGTTTCGTCCTAAAACTGAGATCTAATTAAATTAATATAAACATTCATGAACTTCCTAGACAATTTGTGCTGTGTTTTATTTACGCTAGGTCAGTTATCCAAACGGTTTCAAATCTTGTATATTCACAGTGATGTTCCTGCTATGAGTTCAACTGGCAAAATGCTGTAAGTTTTCAGACCAGTTCCCTGTTCAATTTCTGCTAGATAAAATTCCTTCCACCTCAAGAACAAATTGATAAGGAAGGAATTAAGTGCCTGGAGGCACTGCCATTGCCTAGTAGAGTGAATATTTACATGCAGCATTGCAGAATCTTGTTTACAGCTGGAAACACTGGCTCTTCAATTTGATCTGAAGAACATTTTGGTTTAGATAAAGAAGAGAACAAATTTATGAAAAATGTAGCTTCAACACTGATGCTGTAAGAGGGACATGTGGAAAAATGAAAAAGCCCTTACATTAATGCAAATGCATTGGAGCAGCTTTTGGATAAATTCTTCTCTTTGGATGTTTACTTTTAAGTTACGACAAGCAAGCTATCAGGATGTGTATGGCAGTTTTCAAAATTACAGATACAGTGATACAAACTCAGCTCATAATGCAGCAAGAATATCAGCAGCCTCACTAGTCAGAAAGGAGGCAGTCTCTGCTTCTGGAGAAGGGCCCAGCCCTACCAGCAGCAATGCAACAAATCTACTGAGCACTCTGGAAGTTTAAAAAGGCATCAAAAGGCATTTAGCCATGACTGCAATCTTAATGCTGCTGACAGGTCTTTTGTTTTATTTTGGTTTTTTGATAACGTGGCATGAAAACTGAGATCAGGCGCTCCTAACCAGCTGACTGTGATTGCAAAGCAGTGTAAATGGTTAAGGATATAAAGCAGACTTTCAGCTTGAAGGAATTGTCCTTGCTTGAACTACTACAGAACCACGTAATTATTTTAAGACAATTACTGCTATGAGAATAAGAAGAGTTGGAGGCAGAATGTTTTAAAGCAGAAGGGGAAAGGATATCTCCCTGTTACTCTGGGCCATTACACCTTTACAATACAATAAACAGTTTATTAGAGTCTAACGCATGCTCTCTTTATATGTATTGCTTATTCTTTACCAATATTTCAGTGTTTTCTGTGTAAATGAGATGGAGATGACCTGTGGGGAAGGAGTTCTAGGTGTCTTGACTGCTTCATGTCAAGCAAGATCAGCCCATGGTGACAAAGCAGCTGTCTCCTGCAAGCAGGACATCCCACAGCTCTGCACTGCCTACCACTAATCACCTTTGCTAGGGCCAAAGTTGCCTAGAGGAGGAGAAACTCCATAGCAAATATAAAGACATCCATTTTAATAGCTGGCAACTATTGTTAACTTTTTTCTTTTTTTTCTTTTTTTTTCCATCCAGCTTTCAAACTGTATTGTGAAGTTGCCTTTCTAGACAGTGCTGAGGACAGCAGGAGTCTCTCATTCATTTGGCCATGTGAGAGGGTCACAAATCAAATGTAGATATGAACTAGATCTGGCAATTATTTGCCAAAATAGTTTGAATATTTGTTTGGATTTTGAACAGAATTCACTTTGGCCTCATTCTCTCTTCTTTGGCACTCTCGTGTGATGAGTCCTGAACTCTTACTATCTCTGAACATTTAGAAAAACAACCTTTAAAATCATTGGCAGAAGCTACATTCTGTGTTTTCTTTGTTTGCATCAGAGGTGCTTGCCCACATGTATGCTAACTGCTGAGTCACAGCCTGAACCACTGATTGAGCACCTGTGGAAAGGACACGGTCAGCCCTGGGAGCACAGGTGAAGGCAATTCAGCTGTGTGACCAGAAGGGATGGAGCCTGGCTGCACCTCTCTTAGACCCCATTTAAAGGCTGACTGCCACTAGGGAAGGTTCTCTTCCTGGAGATCCCTTCTTGGTGAAGCTTTCTCTTGTGAACCTAGAATCTTCTGATGCAGGTGAGCAATCATCTTCCCTCCCTTTATAGCATGTTTTTATTATGCTAGTCTTTTTGTAATTGCATCTCTGTTGTAACACCTTTCCCATCATTTTAATCTGTCCAATTACTACACCAGATCTCTGAAAGGAAGAGAGGGAAAAAGCAAGTGCAGCACTTCTGGCTGACTGTAGCAATGTTAATGACTGAAGAGTTAATGTTGATAATTTTGCCTCATAGGCTTAACGTAAGAATAATTTTAGGAAGAAAAAGGTATAGGGAAATACAGTTGGTCTTGAATGTGAAGATTTGGTCTGAATGGGGCAAAAGATCTGGTAGCAGAATGGAAATACCTCTGGAGAAGTGGGATGAGGAGCAGCTGTGTATTTATTAATAGGTGTCAGATGATGTGGCTTTAGCACAGAGCATCCAGCAGTTCTCTGAGCAGTTGAATGATGAACGAAGGGGAGAAAGGAGAATGTCATGACAGAAATCCTGGCCTGTGTTTAATAACACCAGCATCCAATTGGGGTGTAATCTGTCTGTGGGTTCTCTGCATTCAGGTAAACTAAATCTGTCAAATATTACATCAAATATTAGTTAAGGCAAACAGGGAGTTAATTTCAATCCTAAATAAGCACAAGAAGCAGCAGACAGACATTGTTTTGAAGTATAGTTAACTGTCAAATTGTTGAAAGGTGAGCTCCCAACGAAGTCTGGTAAGCATGCCTTCCTTTATCCTTCTGGAGTAGCCAGATTCACAGTCCCAGATATGGTTTACCTTCCAGAGGACAGAAACTGGGAGGAAAAAATATTTTACCACACATATTTTAAGGCTAATGAACAAATTGTCATTGGGATTCAGATGCTGTATCATCATTGGGTTGATCAGCCATGATGTGTTCAAGGCACAGGATTTTTTTCCTGAGGTTGTATTAAATGTTAGAATAAGGACTCTCAGAATGGTTGAGGTTGGAAGGGGCCTCTGGAGGACCAGACCAAGTAATGTGTTTGTGTTGGCAAGGTAAATGAGAGCATCAGCAAGTGTCAATTAACAAGTAATATAAGCTAATAATGTGGATGTTTGCATCCATACACACACAGAGAGTCTGTGAATTGGACTTTATTCTGTACCAGTGAAACCTTCCTACATTGTGTTTCTAAAGCAGGATTAAGTTGCCGTTATGGTTTCTGGTTGTGGCTGTTTGATTACAAACCAACTCCGTCCTAACAAAAGCTGTCTTTAACACAAATGGTGTATTTGGTGTTCCAAGCTTTTCTCTGTTGTGAAGGTATCAAGTAATCAGCAAACCTCCATTTCATCATTCTGAGTATAGCCTTTAGCATAACAGGTTCTAAAATCTGCTCTAATGGCTATTGGAAGACAGCATAGTAGGAGGATGTATGTTATGTAATAGCTCAGGGGAGGCAAGATTATTGCTTTTAGAGCAATTTTTAAATTAACTTTTGAAAGTGTAGTGTTTGAGGAACTGCTCAACACCTACCAGTACTGGACTACATGTCAAGTCTTTTTGGCATCTATGATTATGTGAGCAAAAATTATGTTAATGTCTTTCCTGGATATGTCTAATTGGGAATAAAAAAGCCAAAAGTGCCTGTCTACTCATGTCTTCTAGGAGGTATTATAGGCTTCAAGTGCCAGTTTGAGTCAATACTCTCAGAAGCAATACTGTAAACTCAAGGGCTATAGCAGTAGTCATTGAGTTTACTGTATGCTGTAGCAGTTGATAATATTTTCCATGCAAGCATTAAACCACTGTTACAAATGATTTTGTGACCTCTCTGCCATACCCCTTTACTTATCCTTGTTATTAGATTTTTCTCCTATTTGCATCTCCTTCACATGCTAAAGCTGTTATCTTAATTACTATTAGTCAGATGAGAAACACCTGCTCAGTATGCTGCTCCAAAGCAACAAAAATACCAAAAGTATTTGCTGGAAGTAGGATTAGGTGGATTTTAGGGTGGATGTGTGTGCTTAGTGTCTTTAGTAGAGTCTCTTGCATAATTATCGCTGTTTAGGTGTTGGTTAAGTCTTTTTTTTGAGTTGAGACACTTTTCTGTGAGGAACTTGAAATGCCAGAGAGCAACAGAGAAATCTGCTTTTACTTTGTTTCTTATTCAGAGGGAGAATTTCCTTTGCTATTTTCTTAACAATCATAAGATGAAGACGACAAAGGATAAACATATTGTTTAACAGTTACAGTAGTTAGTGTAGCTCTAGAAGAACTAAGTCAGTAGATCTTGCACTCCATTTAACTTGATGGTAACCCCAATTCTTTGATATTTCCCAAGGATAGTGAGATTTCCAAAGCAATACTCTGAAGGCTGAAATGCTTATGGAATCCAGGGGTTATGAAAAATGCCTGCAGAAAGCAACCACCTCTTGCTATGCACTGTGGTGATCAGTTTCAGCAGGTGCAAGGAGTTGAGTGGTTTGGTAATTGGCTGCAGCTGGGTTGCTGCTGACTCAGGGTGCCTCCCTGGTGGGATTACTTCACTATGGTATGGGAATGCAGTGAGTAAAGTGTAGTAGCAGCAATTCTGGAGAGTGCTGGTGAGTGTGAGATGTGTCTTGGGCTAAGGCTGTGTGAGGTTTCCAGAGATGCAGCCTAGTAGGGGAGCAGGTAAGGCTGCACCCAGGCCTGCTCCAGGAAGGGCTTCTGTTGAATTGTTTGCCTGGAGAAATGCTCTGAGGAAGTGTAGGAAAACCTCTGTTTTCCTGGAGCAGCTGGCTGCTCTTTTTTTGGTTGCAGTTCTGCTTCTGTGCCTGCTCATGGCTGTGTGAACCTGCAGTGTGAGAAGTGCATCAGAGCAGCTGTGTAAGCTGGGTGTACATCCCCATGGGCTGGAGGGTCTGCATGGCTGTGTTCCTCACTCTGAGGATGCTGCAGTATGTGCTATGATGCTGCAAGATATGTTAGGCCTTTTCACCTGCACATTGGAACTGCACTGCTATGTGGTGAAGAAATAAAGGGGCTGAGCAAGGAACCTGGCATGGACTGTGGCTGTTGGCCCATGCTAACAGCAAGGGCCTCCATTTCCAGCCTTGTGCCTTCTCCATGAGCTGTTTTGTCTTTGTTGTCATTTTTGCTATTGTTTTTTCTCTTTAACAGGGGAGCAGACTTGCCCTTGTGGTCTGGAAGGTCAGGCATGTGCTGGCTGCCTGTTGATGGGGATGAGAGCTGAGCAGCAGGCTGGAGGAGGAGCTGCTTCACACTGTGCCATGTCCACCTGCCCTGAGGTGAGTGCCACAGGTCCATGTACCCATGTGAGAACATGCTGCAAGTCTGTGCATTGTGAGGGCAGTGCTTCAGCTCTTGAGAGCTTGGTCAGTGTTTGCATCGGGTGCTCCTTGTGCTGGCTGCTGGCCCAGTGCTGTGATGTTTTTTATCCCATGTTGCTCTGATGGCACCAGGCAGTGGCTGTGTTTGGGGCACTGTGCAGCTGGGCTTCATGGCACCTGTGGGGAAGGACATTTGAAGTGTTGTGCAGAAGTGTTTGTTTCTGTGAAGTGAGAGATAGTGCTGAGGCCTTGTGGATGGTCAAAATTGTAACATCTGATAACTTCCTTGAATGGTGAAGTGATTGAACCCTCTCCTGCCAGTTCTTTCTCTGTGATGAAAACTTATGTATGATTTTCTTATGAAAGCTATATAAATATTGATCTTCTGTTGCATTGCAGTGGAGTTGCATTTCTAAGTGTGTATTGGTTTGTTCCTTTAACTTATGCTGATGAAAAACTGACTTTTGAGCCTGACAGCCACTGAGGGCTGAGCACTGTGGCAGCTGTGTGCTCCTGCGGTGTCACCAAGGTGTTCTGGCTCCCTACAGGACAGTTCATTTGATCTCATTCTGAGGAATGAACCTGTGAATGTTAATATTGCTGCATCATTCCAGCTAGTTAGCACTCACAAGTTAGGAGGCATTGGTTGGACTTGTTTGCGAGTCAGATTTCTATCAGTCTTTAATTTGTTCTGCATTCTGTTATAAGTTTATGACCATCTGTGGTGTGCTTTCTAGGAATACATACAAATATTTGTTTTCACAGGTCAGTGTGTCTAGAGCATCCAAAGATGAGTGGCATGCATGCATAAAAAGAGTCACGTTAGGCTTTGTTTCTGTTGTGTGTGTTCTGCCAGCCTGCTCCTGACTTTAATGTCTTGCTAAATTCCAGTTGCATTCCTATTCCAGCTCCTGTGTTGGGTTGGCTAGGAAAAAGAGGTACAGGGGCAGGGAGGATTGGGGACGTGCATTACAAGTATCTGTCTGCAGACAGCTTTGGAGTACTGTGAGCAGGGCAGTGCTGCTGCTCAGGCATGGGCAGGATGGATTAATTTATCCAGTTCTGTTTGTAGGTAGTGCTTAGAAGGTACATGTCCTTGTTATGGAGGCAAGGGAGCAACACTGTTCTCAGAGCTGTCCTCTCATGTGGAGCTACAGGCCAACATATCATTTGGCCCTGGGGGCTTTGCCAAAAAGGAACTCACACAGGGCTTTGAAAGATCTTCTCTGACTACCCACACAGCTTGTAGGTGATTTTAATTAAATGTAATAAGTGCTGCTGTCATGTTGAAGGAAGATTAAGGGTGATCAAGCCATGAAAGAGCTGCCCCTGAGTTCCAGGGCTACTAGTGGGGCAGGTCCAAAATATGTCTGTAGTGCCTATAAGAGGTGCTTCTGCTGTCCCTGTGGAATGCTCTCTTCAGTTCATGCTGTCTGAGGTACATCAGAACTAAGAATTTAGGGTTCTTCAGGAAGGGACTAGTTTTGATCCTGTGCTTTCTTAAATCTGTTTATTGATTTGTATTTAAGTGGTGCTTTGTGAAATGCATGCTAAGTGAAGGAAGACATGCTGTTAAATAGGGCCATAAACCTTAACTTGTTTTGTGATGGATCTTTCTCACAAATTATCTAAGTAAACATGGAGTTCAGAAAATTAAAATAATGAGTCCAGTACACACTGATGCATCCATGTAGCTTTGTACTGCACTTGGAGAAAGCAGCATTCATTCTGTGACAAATGGATATGAAAACTGGAGAAACAAATTCATGTTCTCTTTAGGACGAGATGCTTTTCTGGCAGTCAACAAGACCCATGCAGTTGGTCATCTTGTCCCCCAAACCCATCCCTTAGATTGGAGGGATGTGTACCATGCTACCATGTTGAGCTCAACTCTGAGCTTCTCACTGTGTTGTGGAACTTGTGTGATCCTATTAAACCTAACAGATCTGTCGAAATGCTCAACAAACAGTTATCAGTTATCTTATGTGGTTGGTTCACTGTGTAATTTGCTAATAATATTTTCAATACATAGCTGGGGAAGTGAGTGGGACTGTCTGACCTCCTGACCTCACAGCTGTACTCAGTGAAATGTGTAGTTCAATGATTTCTTTTATACAAACCTGTGTTTGGTTAATTTTTAAAATAATATTCTGAGTTTTCACAGGAATGAGTTGGAGACAGTGTGTTCCAAGTGGCAAGTTAGCAAGAAAGCCTTCTCAATTGAACTGAAGGAACTTTACTTTTGACAGAGCATAAATATTGTTTATGGCTCTCTGTCCTAATCAATGTGAACATGGTTAAATATGTCATTTTTAACTGAGCTTTGCTGTCGTTCTTTGAGTAATATTCCATGAAATACAATAATATCCCATGAAATAGAGTTTCAGTATGTTGTAGTCTAATGTTCATTCTCAAATATTGCAAGGCTGAGAGGCTTGGGTGATCTATTCTGAAATGAAAGCTCTTATGCTGTAATGAGGCATCAGGTCAGCTGACAAATGGTTCCTTTTGCATTTGAGTAATGCAGAATCACCTCAGTCCTGTTAGGGTTCTCTGAGAATCCCATTCTACTGAAAACCCTATACAATACTTCCACTTCTTTCTTGTTTTGTAACTTATCACTGAGAAGCACAACTGATGGTGTGTATCATATGTTGCTGCACCGGTGTGAGTGCTGAGCAGTGAACAGGAGTGTAGGGAGGGTTTGTGTGTGTTGAAGTTGAATCCTTTATAAAGGGCTTTGATTTTTGGAAGATACCTGGTGACCAAGACCTGAGTCTTCAGCAGTATTAGGCGATGTCTTGGTCAGGTCCCCTGCCTATATAGTCTGCAAGGTGAATGCCATGGCAACTGGGCAAAACATAGGTTACTCCTGGGGCTCGGGAGAAATGAGGAATAAACAAACATCCATATTCATATCTACTATTGTCATATGCTTGACTTGTTTCTTTATACAGTACCTAGAAAAATGAGACTTCACAAATTGTATGGGTACAAAAATTAGCATTACATAGTCAATAAATCATGCAAGAAATTGGTATCTGTATACTTAATCTAAATTTGTTAACACTGGCAAGGTAGAAGTCATTTTGACTCTATGCTGACACTTGAATCTGGAACACAACTCAGAAATTTGAGGTTTCTTCATCCAGCTGTGTACATGTGCCTTGTTATCTTATACTTTAATTGCTAACTAAACAGTGGGTAGTAGAGAATATACTGTTCTATGTCAATATTTAAGCAGGACTTTACTTATGGCTTAAGTTTATTCACCTTGGAGAGAGAATTTTTGCTTTGCTTGAATAATTGGGCAGAGAAAAAGCAGGGTTTCAACTTGCTCCTGTGGTCTGTAGTTAGTGTAGGCAAATAAAGTATGTGAGCTATTTCTGTCATCCGTGCCTTTCATGTTCAGTGTTTTTGGAAAGCTCAGGAGCTGTTGAGACCTCTCAAACATCTGGGATCTTTCCCCTTTTCCTTTCCCTTCCAAATGGATGAGGCAAATTAAACTATCTGAACTTGTTTGGACAAATATTTGTTAGAAACTCCTAAAATTCTTCTGCAGTGGAAATTTGGAAGTGTCATTCTCTCTCATTCACTTTGTGATAAGCTGAAAATGTGCATAGGGACTTCTGTCCTGTCACTGTGAACCATAAAAAATTACTGTAATGACAATTAAGGAGAGGCTTTAAAGATATGAGGCCTGCAATGTGCAGAGGCTCAGTTGGGATAGTTTTAACATGTGAACAGATTCCAGGCAAAAAGAGTTATGTCCTTTTAATACCTTGCATTCACAAACATGCGGTAGGATTAACAAACCAAATCTTGAGGAAGTTGCATACTTTGTTTGTTTTCTTGTGCTTTCTAAAAGCATCTCCTGAGCCAATCTTGCTTCTAACTTCCCTTTATGTACATGGGTTCAAATTGCAGTATCTTTTCAACAGCTCATGCTACGTTGGGATGTGAAATAGTGAAAAGAAACACATAGATTAAGGCAGAAAAGGGATACTGAGCTCTTAGCTCTTTTGTTTTATGAAATAAGACAATGCTGTAAACCAAATGTAGCATATTTATGGCTATACTTTGCATTGCAGGACCATAGATACTAGGAATCAAGATGTCAGACTGTTCCTTCTAATACAAGTCTCAATATTAGATGAGTAGCTTACAGCCATACAGATACAAAGTGGAAGAAGTGAGCAAAGAACACATACACCATAACTCAAAGCTACTCAAAGACAATTGAGGAGAGGAAGAAGAGGTAGCAAGCTTTGAGCAAAGAATTTCTTCTGTGCAGAAGAGTTGCACGCAGGCCATGCCTTTATAATCTCTGCTGAATCAGGCCAGGGTTGTTCAGGAAACTGACTGGAGCTTGTCTGTAGATCTCCTGGATGATGCAAGACCCTAACTAACTCTCTTGAAGGGAAATGGGAATGACTTAGTAGTGTCTGGGGTCTGCATTGCTGTTTCTGTTGCAGGAAAATATAAAAGGAAGTAGAGTGAGTGTTTGGGCTGTGCTTAGTAAGTGGGCCAGCAGTTTTCAGGCTTTTACTCAATTTTCTTTCAAGGTGAGATTTGGAAACATTTTAGTTAGTTTCAAGCTGTGGCAAATCCCATCCTGGCTGCTGTTTGAGAAATAGTTTTTCTTCCATATCCAGTCTCTAATCCAGATTTTCCAGTAGCTCAGAGCAATCATTACTGACAAGTCCATCGCCCAAACGATCCCAGAACACTACATTTAAATACTTAATTGCTTTATAGTCACTTCAGTTCTTCTGTGTTTTCAGTAGGAGTACTTATGAAAGGGCAGTATTTATTTTGCTGTGGCATTATGTGCAAGGTAGTCATGTTATCTGCTCTGAGGATAAAAATCCTGTAGTTCACTGCTGTTCAACATGAATATATAAAATGTTCATCTTCCCTGTCTCTATATTTAGTTATATGCTAGACCAGCTAAAGTC